TTTTCATCATGTATGCTCATATTTTAGCGAAACTTTGGTGATACACACACACACACACACACATATATATATATATATATATATATATATATATATATATATATATATATATATATATATATATGGATTCTCTCGTAGTTGATCGACGTGGGCTGTTGACCCGCGTCTACCAAGGACCCTTTTACGACGTATGTGGGTCAGGCACCTCAATTCCTAGGAACCGACAGCCAGACAACTTGCACATATGATGTGATTATAATGGTGGAAGGTTTTGTGCAGAACCAACCACACTTTTTGAAGAGCCGAATACAGAGACCTGGTGCATCGAGTGCCACAACGCCCCCAAACGATCCTCCGCAGGTTTTGAATTCAGAATTGTCCTTCTCCTAGACCAGTTGCCATCCAAGGCTATAGAATTCAGTCCGTCCTGGGAGAAGAACGGGTATTAGCACGTAAGTGAATGTAACCCTTTTTAGGATATTAAAACATGTAAAAATCGCTACACGATTGCAGTCGTGTTTCGACGCATACCTCTTTTAAATTAAATGTATGAACGTTGGAATTGTACTCTATTCGTTCATTTTACCTGTATATATATATATATATATATATATATATATATATATTATATATAAATTGTTCATTTAGCTGGTTATTGTTACTGGCGTTGTGGTGAAAATAAATAAAATGTCGTAAAATTACGACGGTGTCAAAAAGAGGCCAACTCTTTTCTTCTCAGACTATACCAATAAAAAGAAGCGGTAAGCAGACGCGTGTCTTTGGCTCGAGACAACCCGGTGCGCCGCTCGACGTAATCTCGTTCCACACGCCGGTTTTACATACACTTAGCATAACTATCTAAGTGTTAGCCCGACATATCTCTCAATCCATCAACCGATATTACTTGACTTCACTTCCCCGACCTCCCGCCACCCGTTGATAGCCGACAACACACGACTCTTTCATTCAACTGATTATTAACCTTTTTTTATCTAATGGTGGTCTGCAGGCTCTTTTTTTACGGTATTTTCATTTTAATATCGAGAGAAACTGAGCAAGCCAGAGACCATTTTATAATGACATGAACAGGATTAAGAAGGAAAAATAACAACGGTAATAGCTCAATATTAATAAGCCAATATGGATGAGAAATGGAAAATAATAAGAATACTGAGGATATGTATTATTCATATAATAATAATAATAATAATAATAATAATAATAATAATAATCATCGAAGTATAAAGACCTGGAAATCGAAATAGAAAAAAAGTGGAAATTGAAAACAAGAACAGTACTAGTCATAATAGGTGCGCTTGAAATGATAAAAAAGGAACACAACAAAACGTTGAAAAAATCTCTAGAAATCCCAGCTTAAGAGATACAAAAATGTTTTGATAAGAACAGCCCACACACTAAAAAAAAATTGTCCATGTAATACCAGTGATGTTATGAGAAAAAAACAAATCATGAAATGTAGCCATAACAACAAACCGGTACTTGCCTTAGGTCTTCCGGCTGACTTGGTCGGTAGTGGTGACCAGAGCAGAAATCGAAATATAATAATAATGATGATGATATTATTATTATTATTATTATAATCATCATCCTAACCACGACCACCACCACCACCACGACAACAACAACAACGGACAGAACATTCAAAGCTAGCCGCCCACACGTAATGATCAATGACAAGAAAAACAGAATATGCTTACTTATTGACATGTGTAATGTAGCTTTGAAGATTTTCAAAAACTATCAAAATATTTGGACCTGAAAGTGGAAATTTATAAAATGTGGCACCTGAAGACATCAGTAATTCTAGCTGTGGTTGGAGTCCCAACGTTCATTGGATAGACTCATTGTAGGAATAAGAAACTGTTTTCAAAAGTACAACTTACAACCCACGAAGGCCTTTAAATGTACAAAATATATATATATATATATGCATTTGTAGATTGTTTTTAACCTAAATGTGCAGCGGAAAATGCTATGATACCATTTCTGACCTAAGGTCTCTGGTTGGGACCCGGAAAGAAAATGAGTATACAACAGAAATTCAAGGAAATAATAATAATAATAATAATAATAATAGAAAAAAACATGAAATGTAGCCATAACAATACACCACTAACTACCTTAGGTTTTCCGGCAAACTTGGTAGGTAATGTGACCATAGCAGAAATCGAAATATAGTGATGATGATGATGATGATGAAGAAGAAATATTAATTGATATAATAATATAAGAATAATAATTAAAATATAATAATAAAAATAATAAGATATTAATTACTATTTGGACATCGAATGACAAAATGGGAAACGATGAGATCCACGTTCAATTCTACTCATAAAGTAAAAGTTCTTTTTTCATTTTGTCATTTTATTTGTCTGATATATAGATTTACATATTCTATTAATTAATTAATAATAATAATAAGAAGAAGAATTGATTGGTCTGTTTGCTTTTTACGGTTTATCAACGCTTTGTGGGTTATTTAAAGCCAAAATATATTTTGGATTGTAAAAATAATTCTTTTTTTTTTGTTTTGCGAGTGGATATTACGTTAACAATGCTTTCATAATAACAAGGATTTTCCAGATACAAGTCCTACTTTTTAACCCGTTATGGACGAAGGAGATGGATTTATACTTTTTCAAGGGTTTTTTGCGCGTAAGTGAATGTAACGAACCCGGCTAGACTTTCGAACTCGAGTCTACCGATTACTACCCATTACACCACACACACGTGAATAATAATAATAATAATGATAATGATGATGATGAAGAAGAAGAAAGGGGGGAATACACCAATAAAATCCTTGGCAAGATCACGCTACAAGGTCCATAAATGTCCACCTCGGCGCTGCTCACATACTAAGGGGGGGGGGGCTGTGATCAAATCATTGCACTCTCAGGGTAGCCGAAAGTCCAGTGGATGAACTCGGCTCCATGAGTTAACAAAGTCGGACATTTAAAAAATCTCTGAATTATAAGTGAGTTGTGGGTGACCTAACGGTTAATGACACTGGTGGGAATTTAAACTTCTCCTGGGAGTACTTCAGGAAAGTAATGAACCGATTTCTCTTCCACCTATAAGTAAACTAGCAGAATTGTTGGGATCCTTTTAACCCTTTACAAACAATTCAAACAGTGGGGCAGGTTAAAAAGTTACAATTGTTATAAAGTGAAGCCTCCATGGATCGTTTGAGAAACGGAAGGAAAAATAATCATTGATTCATGTGTCGTGTAATTCAGGAAGCGAATCTAGTTTTGCAAGAGTATTTAGAAAATTTGTTGCCACTTTAGTGTGGCCTTCCAGACGTTAGTAGCAGGAAAATTTATAATAATTTATGTCAGATCACATTACGAATGCGACTGGTATCATGTAACTCAGTACTATCTGCTGCATGGTCGGTCATCGGCGACAAAATCGGACCCCCAACCAGGATTTTTTGTAAGGTGAGGAGAGTGCCTACACACCCAGAAGGATTAAAGACAAAACCTGTCAAAGGTCCTTCTTGTTAACTACCATCTAGCACAATGGTGTAGCCAGGACCCCATAGCCATGTATGCAACCAGAGCGGTGAAGACATGGCTTCGCTGAGGCAAAGGGCTTCCTAGAACGAATGAAAAGAAAGCACTTGTTAGAACACAAGAAAAATTAAATAAAAATCTTAATCGTAGTAACTTGTCTGTAGTTTTTAATGAAACATGCATAAACAAAGGATTGCTGCCTAAATACAATATATATATATCCACACACACACACACACATAATATATATATATATATATATATACACACACACACACACACACACACACACATATATATATATATATATATATATATATATATATATATATATATATATAATATAAATAGTCTTAAGATGTGCTATATTTATGGGATAAAGTGTTCGATATCAGAGATAGAGCGTGTGTAAATATAAAAGTGAACATAAAGTCAACATAGAGGCGACAGTCTGTTTCATGCTATATGTCATGGCCTGACGATTATATCATATATCAGAAATAACTGTTTTGTTACATATAAATTTTAAAACAGTAATTTTAATTTATTTGTAACAAACAGTTATTTCTGATGAAAAATTGAGACAATTTGAAATATCAAATATATATAAAATAAATAAATACTTTCATAAAATAAAACATTATAATTTTTAATTTGAAACTTTATATATATATATATATATATATATATATATATATATATATATATATATATATATTGAACAAGATGGAGTAAACAAGATAGATTGTTCCAGTGGAACAACAAAATTAGGTGAAAAAAAATAGAGAGCTGAAGAAGTTGTAGTTTTTTATGTTGACGGTCGTGACAGTCGTTATCGGTGCACAGAGGAAATGTCTCGAAGAGCCTGAGAAAAATACTTTGAAATTAGTGCATAAGATGAAATCATTCATCCGACAGGCATCGTTGAAACCAGCTAGAGAGTGCTAAAAATAGCGCGGGAGCATTGAGTAGACTTGCAGTCACCTAAAGTCCAATTTCGGACACCTGTTATTACTGGTGTGAACACTTAATGAGTGAATATAATAGCAATTCAGATAAGAAGAAGAAGAAGAAAAAGAAGAAGAAGAAGAAAGAGATAAAAACAAACGAAAGAGAAAAAGTGATGAATGAAAATAAATAGAATAATCTACGAATGTCATCAGTTGCGGTACAATTTTTATAAATCGTTACAAAAACTCTACAGTTTTCATCGTTATTTTTTATTTTCTTTCTAAGTGTGTTATTTTTAAATAGCTTTAGACGCGAAGAAGGACAGAATATTATGAAGGGGCTTCTATTTATAAGAAAAGAAAGAAAAGATAAAAACAGTTTTATGAGAAAGCGAAAAATCTACACGTTTAACCAAGTTAAAATTATATATATATATATATATATATATATATATATATATATATACTCACGCGTTTCGTACCGTTTAATTTATTTATTTCTGGATAGGAGCTGACTCTCTCTCTCTCTCTCTCTCTCTCTCTCTCTCTCTCTCTCTCTCTGCTTTTATCAACTTCACTTCCGTTTGACGCTTTCTCAGGTCACCCAATGAATTCACCCATTGTTGGCGTTAATGCAGCAGACATGGCGGCTGCCACTTGA